AGTGTCTCAGTTGTTTAATCCCATACACGAAACGATTACACGAAAGTTTACCTCCTAGTTAACAAACGAACTAGCACAATGAACAAGCAAACATGCGAAATGTCCCTCCAGGCCGAATAGAGCTGAAATTTTTGCTCAAATATTCCTCATTCATGAACGCGTGATACTTTCGAACTCCGTTTCAGTCCATGGGGACGCGTTCAGTATATTTGGATTAAACCTGATTCAGGATGGACATGGAGACGACGGCGGCTGTGGGTGCTTCCACAGAGATGCCACCGATGGGCACTACACATATGCATATGAAAATGAAACCGATGTGGATGTGGTTTCACACCGCCGTTAATGATGTGGTTTTGTTCGAATCGTGGACCGTTACGACACCTGGAGGTGTGTGGTTTAATCGCCTTCTTACTTGTGTAAGACTGATCTCCTTGACCCGCAAGGAGAATTGTCAGATGGAGGGGACGCCGTATATTGGGATCCCAGCTGGCATTAGGTAGCGAAGGAGGGGGTCACATTATTTCTTGAGAATAACTTAACGATTGTTAGCTATCCTCGTTTTTTTCCGTTTCATGTACGCTACTGACCGCTTTAGTAAGAAAATATCGGAATAGTAGGGATGGGGGAAATTTGGGAAGATGGTGGGTGAGACGGGTTTGGGGAAAAGAGCTCGTATTTCGTCAAAAGTTGGAAAGTGAATCCCCATATTCTAAAGAGGAAGGACTTACCAGCGAACAAAGGTCCAAGTGAACCCGCCCATGCGGTTATCGTAAAATTAGCTCCTTAAGTTTCTAGGAGGTAGTGGATTTACTCAATGTTTCAGAGATGGTTTGGACTTGTTTTGTTGTAATTGCTATGGGTATACTGCTGGAATTCGTACGATATGCCCGATGGCGGTTCGAGATCGACCAAGGGAAAGAAGTCCTGCTTCTGCACACCAAGTACGCCACATTCACTATAAAAACAACTAAAAGGTAGAAACTGCTTTCGTTTGAGAGCAGCAACATAGCATTTCCACTTCACGTTGGACATTTTTCTGACCAAATGGGACGCTTTTCGAATTAAATTGGACGATTTTTGAATCAAATTGGACGACTTTCGAATCAGTTCAGACATGATGAGCAGTTCATGGGGAAGGCGAAAATACATATCGGCAACGGATGGTATTGGTGTTTCGTTTCCCTTCTCTTGCTCATTCGTCTCTACCCCTCTTCCGTCTTTATAATCGCAGCCATAACCGCATTCGCAGCTACACCTCTTGTAGCTTTCAGTTGTGGGTTGCGCATCTGTTAACATATAGATGCCATCCAACTTAGATTACAACAATGTCCAAAATGACTTGAAAAATGTCCAATTAATATAAAACATCCTATTTGATTTGAGAA